CGTATATGTATATATATATATATATATTTATTGTAATTAGGTATGTATGTATGTTTGTTTGTAAGCATTATAGTTTTGTAAGGCCTTTCAGACAAATTACAGTCTAACTGGTTTCCATTCAATACGCTACATGTACGCATACATATTTATGTACATATATATGTTATATGTGCAAGTAACTTAATTTTATATGTATGGCATGTTAGCTTTCAAATTATATATGTATGTACCGACATACTCTATAAATATGTACTATAATTTGCTAGAACTTGACTAAGTTTTCCACTAAACTTGGCTTCCACATACGATTTTCTCTAACTTTTTTTACTTTTCTTGTGTATTTTTATTTCATTTCTATTCTTATGACTGTTGTCTGTGTGAGAGGGTTATTTGTTAATTTAATATTATTTTGTATTTGGGGATAAGAATAATTTTGCGCTTTTCTAAAATGCATTGCTATTGTTTGTTCATTTTGCAATAAACAAAAAAGAAAAAGAACACAATAACTATACATATAACAATTTATTTATTTTATTATTATTATTATTTTGATACATACATACATATATACTTATATGTATGTGCATACATATCATTTTCCCCATTGCGCAAACGCAAACAGCTTAGAAAAACAAGAAAGCTCACATATGTCTGTATGCACATATGTACATATGTACATATATACAAGTATATATATATATATGTATGCAAATAATTAACTTTCTCATAGTGCGCCTATTTCAAATCTCACTATCAGTGCCACATATTGCACTCGAATGTATCTACATATTTATGTATGTATGCATGTTTCCACATCTATCATACATATGTACATATGTACATACATATATTTATTCAAATATGCACGTTTTGCAATGCATATCTACTACTTTACCTATTTGTGTCTAATTATCGTACAAGATACCAACTATGTTTTTGCTTAAGCCAACATCCGTGCATAATATGTATGTATTCGTATATTATATTATATTAAAATAATTGATATGATTAGTTTAAGCTGCAATACATTATGTGCAAACGACTAAGCGCCAATTCTCTGTTGTTTCCAAAATGTAGTTATCTATGAATAAAAGCATAATATTTGTGATACACTAACAAAACTACTCTATATGAGTGCTCGAATGAGTGTGAAAATGAAAAAAAAAAAGTTATTTTAAATGTTCTCTATAAATTAATTATTTGTTATTTACTTTTAATACATACTTAGCAAAAACAAAAAAAAACAACAATTCAAGTTATATTATAATACTTTATTCATAATATTTTATTTGCAACATGGCAGTGATGTCTTAATTAATTTTAAATATTTCCTTTCCACATACTTTAAATTTTGCTAGACAATTTTTCCACATTTTTTTTAACCAAATTATATAGCAAAACAAAGCAATTGAATGTCTAAAATATGTGCAACAATATATATGTACAAATGCAGCGGATCAGATATGTCAGGCAGTCTTGGGCGACAACCGAATTCTATTGTGCTCGTTTCTTGAGAGAGAATTTTTGAAATGCTTTTATATCTACCTTAGAAGGTATCACATATATCTAGTATGTGAGAGGTAAACAATAAATGTTTCACAATAAATACTAATTTTTATTGACAGCAAAACTAAATTGAAATAAAAAATTTATTAAATTAACTTCCCGCTCATACGCGCACATGAAAAATTTTGCTCCACTGATGTGGGCACCAATTTCGAGCACACTAAGTGGTGCCGGCAGACGTTGACATTTCTATTGCCTCACTTATTTTGCTTCCAAAAATTTCAATTTCGATGCGTCGACATTCTGACTAGTTTCGGCAAATTTAATTTCATATAATTGCCGAAATAAAATTTGCAATCTGTGATGGCACATACATATACATATATGTATTCATCAGAAATTTGTATCTTTTAGGCTACGTGAGAATGCTCTTGAAATGAAATTTTGAAATATATAATTTTTACATTAAATTCGACATTAATAATTTCCACCTTAAGAGGGCATTATCGGGAAGTAGTTTAGTATGACTAAAATGCCATCACAGGAATAAAACTTCTAGTCACAATTGGTTTATACAGTAAATAATTAACTTGTATACACTCAGCGACATTACTGAAATTACCAGCGCCACAATTGATTTTGTCCATCAAAATTGATGCATTTGGTGTCAGGTAGATAAAAAGCTTACATATGTGAGTGTGAATCTCTTTGAATTTACAAAGTTTGGTATCTTACCGACATTGCGAATTTTAGTGAATAATTTCATTACTGAATGGAAAGAAAGAGAGAAAGGTATAAGAAAATGTTAAACTATCAAAGATTGAGCGAAGAGTAAAAAATTAAAACTTGCACATATTCGGAGGGAAATATGTCAAATAGGGAAATTGCAAGTCTTGTAAAAAGTAATGAGTCACTTGTGCGCCGGTTTTTGACCTCATAATTAATTTTGAGAATTTTATTTCGATTTTCCAAAGCAATACCTTATTAAGCATTGATTCGGAAAATCGCATACATTTTTTGGCAATTGTATCTCTATAAATAAGATAAATAAGATTAATTTTCTGTAAAAAAAAATCCTTATACATCTACAAATAATTTAGAGATCATAAAGGCTCCAAATAACCTCTTTCGAAATATTGACACTCACAGGCCTATTCTCACTGTTACCCGTAAAGTAAATTTTGTTACTTTTTTTTTTAGCACTCGAAATTGAATTTGATACTCTGGCGAACTGGTTACAATGTTTGAAGAAACTTTGGCAGCATTGCATTTTTCGTCCTTGCCAAACTACATTTGCCAGTTGGTAAAGTAAAAAAGAGAAATATTCACATCGAAATGGAAGACGGTGCACAAAAAAAAAAATATAAAAATTTTATTTATTTTTTTATTAAATCATAAATATTTGAACCAAATTTTGGAAAATATACCTAAACGATCAAAAAAAAGCTGAATGAAAACGCTATCTTCCAAATTAAAAGGGTAATTTTTTTCTCGCAACTTCTTAGCATACGTCATTTTATTTAAATTTTTTCTTCATCTTCAATGAATTCAAGTCCTAAAATAGGCCTACCCATTTTGGTTTTTATTTTTTTCTTAAACTAAAAACACAAAATCAAACGGCAGATTTTTTGTTAACTCCTTTTTCGCTGGTAACAAAATTTACAGGGTGACAGTGAACTCAGAATACGAAATTGTAACAAAAAAAATTTTGTTATCTCGTCAGAAGAAATCTGTCAATCACTAAGTGATGTCGCTGTATATATATATATATAAACTATATGCATCATTTTAGTTCCATAAATTGCATTCCAAAATAAGTAATTTAATTCAATTATATTTGGTTTGCTGAAACATTTCGAATCGGAACAACACTAAGTTTTTAAATAAATATTAAATAATTAGCTGACTTCAAATGCTCTAGTACTAAGTTAAGTTTGTTAATTTTGTTTTGATTTACAGACATAAAATTTTTCATAATTTTTTTTTTGCGGTTAAAATATTAATTTTTTTCATTATTAGCTTTTTAGTGAGCTAATTGAATATATTTGTTGTACAACAAAGAAATCGATATCGCCATGGTTAAAGGTTTAGCGCACCGCGCACTTGTCATAAGAGAAATTTTCTCGTAAAGTTTTTACCGTAAGAGTCGTCATCACTTCATTTCTTATTTATTGTTACGGTATGCCAAATGGGGAATGTTATATATGGAAATGCTTACGAAATGTTAAAAATAAAGCTAAAAATTTCGAAAAATAGTGAGTAGTTTGAGAAAAATGTTGTACAATGTCATTTTACTAGGTCAACGCTTTGAGTATTTAAGTTTTTATGACTGTGAGCTACGTGGTTGTTTATATTTGTATATGCGTATAGGAAATAAAATATTATTATATATATTTATAAGCAAATTATTTACATATGTATGTAAACACTTTTATGCTCTCAGCTATGTTTGTCTGTGATGATGTAGGGTGAAAAAATACATATACTTTTTTAAGCAGAGAAACTGATATATGTATGTACATCTAGCTTTCTTTTTAATGCAACGGAATTATTAGAAATCGACCAAATGGAAAAAAGCTCTAATAAACTGATGTACATTTGTACGTATGTACGAGTATATAAGTGCATGTCGTAGAAAGATAAAGATACATTTAAAAGTTTACAAAGTTTGATTGCGACGAATTTATTTAGGGATTGAAAATATTTACATATAAATAAAATGCTAATTATACTACATACATGAGCAAAGAATTATGTAGCGTACAGAATTGCATTTAACGGTAAACATGTAGGTACAACGGATATACGTAAGTACTAATAATTGGATTGGCTGTGTGTTTATTTGTGTTTTGGCTTCATATATAGAATGGCGAGTTCTGTTTTGTAGCATATATGTACATACATATAAATATTATACACAGTTGAAATGGTGAGAGTGCCTCCACTGAAGTAAATTGGTAGTACAATCAACTTTTTTTTTTGTTTTAAAGGTAGGTACTTTGAAATAATATTTTTGAACATGCTTTTTCTTCTTCTTGCTAATTTTCTGCGCCTATGTATGTATGATATATGTATGCTATTTATTTTTGAGGAGTACGAATAACTTTTAGTTTTTAATATTTTTATTTTTAATTTAATTTAATTTAATTTAATAATTTTATCTATTGGGCTTTATCTATTAACAATGTATGTATGTATGCATATAATGCTATTATTTATATATATATGTATACATATATATATATATACAAACATGTATATGAATGTAAATTGCAGTTACATAATACCAATTTTTATTTATGTGTAGCTGTCTGTACGTACGAAATTTATGGCATGGTTTCTTTCCTCTTAGATGCATATATATATTATATGTGTGTGATATTGTGTTATTGTTTAAATGTTTTTAGTTTTATTACGATATTGTTTTTTTTTTTATTATTATTCATATTTTTTATTATCATTATTTTTTTCTGTATTATGATTATTATTACTATTGCTATTATAATTATTATTTATTGTTAATACATATTAATATAAATGAAAATAAAATTTTGTTGCTTTCCATTTGCTACAATTTGTTCTAATATTTACATTATTTATTTAATATGTATGATGTATATTTATTCACTTTTTAATAAACTAACTATAACTCTGCATATAGTATTTAATTTAATTTATTTATTAATTTTTTTCCTAATAAGTATATATATGTATATTTATATTGTATTTTTACCAACCCCTTCACTGGTTTCCCTTTTTCATTTAATTCCATCAGAAATATACATACATATGCACTTTTTATGGCTTGCTCAAATTTGTTTTTGCTTACGCAGGATTCATATTTTCTGCTATATTTGCTTTGTATGTTTGTGATCTCACCAGAAAAAAAAAGTTTTTCTTTTTTACTTCTCCAAATCAACGCGTTGTTGCGTATATGAGTTTAACTCTCAATTTTGTAATCTATCTTCTTGACCTTTTCCATTAATATTCAATTTACGCCTTTGCTATTTGCTAATATACGTGCACTACACACATACGTGTATGCTATGTACTAATTGTAATGCGCTGCGGTATGCTTTCCCATTGCAGGTGCCTTGGACTAGTCACCATTGTAAGGCGGCTGCTCAGTTGTTGTTGTTGAATCGTTATCCCGTTTGCTAGTATTCCTTGTGCCAAATACGTGTATGTATGCAAGTATGTCCGAGTTATGCTTTTCATCTATGTTTATATGTACGTAAATTGCATGTAGATTAGTAGCAAGAAGTATGTGGTTAGTATGAAGAGTTATGTAAATATGTTTTTTTACAGCAGCAGTTAGTTCGCATTAGTTTAAGTAGTATTTTGTATTAGTTTGTTTTTTGTTTTCTGTTTTTTTTTTTTTTTTTATAAAGGAAACAAATATTAGTAAAAGACAGCGATCAGCAAAAAGTTGAGTAAAAAAGATTTCCAATACATTCATTTCCATTATTCATTATTGTAATGAAATAAATACTGAGGTTACTGGTAGTTAAATGTACAGTGTATTTAAAAATGTAAAGTGCTTGTTGTTGTTCATTTTTATTTTTGTTTGCAAATTTATTTTCATATTTCCAAGTAATACTCTTTAGAAGAAGCTCTTCAAGAATCCAGCTGGTCCAGCCTGAAAGATGAAAATGAAATTCATAATTCGTTGAAAAAATATTTTGTGCGTTTAAAAGCAAAGCAAAAAGTTCACTTAAATTCTAACAAAAAAAAAAACATTTTTTTTCATGGTTTAGTAGAAATTGGTTTGTTGAGGTTGTCTCATTGATGGTGACGTAGAATTGATGGTGACAGCTCATTTGACATAACGGGCTACACCATACGAATGACAGTTCAGTGCATTGTTTACAAGCGCACGAAAGCATTTTGCCGAGAGTAAATGTGAAAGAAAGAAATCAGTAATGAAGAGAGCGAAGAAGTTGCTTCGCTTAGCCGAAAGTTCGGAAATTGTCATTGTGTTTTGTGTCGAGAAAATTTTTACAGTTGTGCACTGCGTAGACTCTGAAAACGTTAGGATTTAATTGACCGACTGTTCATACAAGAATTTGAGTCATCGATTGGCCACCAAGAGGCAGCACAAGCCACAGATAATGGTTTGGGTAGCTGTAACCGCAGCGCGTAGAACACTCAATCGTTTTCATCGAGCTTGGCGCAAATGTAAATGCGCTAAATGCTGGAGGTTGCTTTGAAGCGCCATGGGCAAACAACAAACAAACATTTCGGTGGCAAACCATGGACGTTTTAATAGTCACATAGAGCTCGAATGAACCAAGAATGGCTGAAAAAAATGTTCCAAACTTCATAACGTCACCAGACGCTAATTCGTTGGATTATTCTTTTAGGGCCATTTTGGAGAGCAAGGTCCAAACTAAAAGATACACCAGTCTCGAGGCGCTGAAGAAAGCCGTTGTGAGAGAGTGGACCAAAATATCTGCTAGCAAAAGTAAATTGTCTCCGATTTTTGTATTATTTTTACACATTTTATACTTTGAATTGATTAAGAGTAATTTCCCGCGGTAGCTGAGTGGTTAGTATATGCCATTCGTAGGGCCCGGGTTCAAATCCTGATACGAGCAATACTCAAAAGTTATAGAAATTTAATTTAAATAAATAATTTTGTAAAATTTTCTGAATTCGCCGCCCCTTTGCAGAAAATGTTAACCCCTCCGGGTGTATTTCTTATAAGAAGGTCAACTGCTCTTCATAAAAAAAGCTATAAGTCGTTCTGAGGTGGCGTAGTATAAGCTGTAGGTCCCTCCCTTTGTTGGAAAAATATCAAGAAGCAAAACATGAAATTTTGAGGAGGAAGCCGAAACTTGCTTCAGATGTTACAAAGTGCCAATTATATATATATGTATATAAGATCTTCCATGTGGCAGTATGCACTTCAAACCACTCGGTTATTGTGAGCGCGCTGGGGTCAATATTAAAATTCTTGATATCGCTCTCTTATAACTAGACCTTGCAGAGCGAGAGACTCACTTCGTTGGTTCAATCAGGCGGCGCCTAAAAGGAAACTAAAGAAGTGCCGAACTACGCTTTATTGGCAAAACTATTGTATCGCCCTAAATCAGAGCGATTAAAAACTCGGCCAACAGGAAATTATTTCATGTAATCCTCTTTAACAAATTAACAAAGATTGACGAATATGTGAATAAAAAGGAAGAATACTTACATCTTGTTGTTGCTGTGTTTGTGCTTGTTTCACTTTTGCTTGAGCGATCTTTAAGGCTCTGTATTAAGGAAAAGAAGGAGGGAAAAATGAGTAGAAATAAAAACACCCAACTTCATTCCGCTTGCTACTTACTGTTGTAAGTCCATAATGGTTTTCTCCTTTGCGTTCTGTTCCTCCTGCGACATTTGCACCAGTTGAAGCAATCTTTCGCATTCGGTGGTGGATTTTTTGTGCTCCTCTTTGGTATTTTGCAGTTCCTTAATACAGCTGTGCGTTAAGAGGATGTAGAGAGTACAATTTATGATTTTTGATTTCATTATTATTGTTTTCATTTATGTAAATATTTTCCGTAACTTACGCTTCGAGCTGCCGCTGTGTGTCCATGAGTTTCTTATTGAGCTCACCGGCTGCGGCCGCACCGCCACCCTGTGTCTGCAGAGATTTCTCTAACTGATCCATTTGCTCCTTTCGCTTGCGCAGCTGTACATCGAAATCGGTCATTTTCTTCTCCTTCTCCTCGATATCCTTGCGTTTGGCTTCGATCTGTTTCCGTTGCTCCTCGATGATCTTCCGTTCGCTTTCTGTAGCCTTGGCTTGGTTGTCGATCTGTTTGCGCACCTCTTCCAATTGCTTTTGCTGCTGCTCCAGCTGCTGGCGTTGGACGTCGGTGGCCGCTGCGCCGGAATTGCCCGCTTGCTGTAGTTGTTGTACTTGTTGTTGCAGCATTTGTACCTGTTGTTGTAGTTGTTGCACCTGCTGCTGCGAGACCTGCAACTGCTTTGTTTGCTCTTGGTTCGACACCTGGAATAATGTGAATGTTATAGTTTTGAGGTGAAATTCTGTTTGTTTGAATATCGCGTACCTGGCTCTTCTCCAGCTCTTGTACCAACAACTCTAGCTGCTGTTGGAAGCGATCACGCTCCGTGCAGGCGGCTTGCAGTTCGCCTTTCACCTTCTCCAACTCCTTGGTGACTTCTTGAGCATTTCCGGACACTTGTTGTTGCTGCTGCTGTTGCTGTTGCTGCTGTTGTGCTATTTGTTGCTGCATCATCTGCATTTGTTGATGTTGTTCCTTGATGTGTTGATCCATGAGCTGTGAAATAGAAAAAAAATGTTACTCCGTCCTGATCGGGAGACTGGGAAATATCATTTTTTTGAACTTCATTTATTTACTTGTATGCGTTTATGCATTTCTTGTGCGGCTTTGTCGGCCATTTCTGCGCGATTCTTCTCCGCCTCGAGTACCTTGCGCCACTGCTCGACCTCTTCACGACTGGGTCCACTCGCGCCGGCAGCAGCGCTGGTTGCCTGTAGAGCCTTTTCGGACTCTTGCAATTTCTGTTGCAGCAATTGGATTTCTTGTTGCATTTGTTGTATTTCAGCTGGCGCTGCTGGTGCTACCGGATGCCCGTTACGAAGTTTACGATTCTCTTCACGCGCCTTCTGCAATTCGATTTCGGCATTTTGCAACTCCTTTTGGAAGTTCATCAATATCTCCTGGCTCTTCTCGAGTTGCAGGACCAACTGCTCGCGTTCCATGGCCAATTGCTTGCAATCGGATTCCAATTTCTGCATATGCTTTTCGAGTTGTGGATGCGGTTTGTCTGCGCCATTGCGTCCCGATTGGCGTAGTGACTCCTTCTCGGCCTCTGCCTTCTCGAGTCGATCGTGCAGGCGGCCGAGTTCGGCTGACATGCGTTCGAATTCGATGCGCGTCGATTCGTTCGCTTCCTGCTGTTTGGCCAAATGCATCTGCGCCTTCTCCAACTCCTTGGCGAGGCGGCCCGCTTCCAGTTCGGTGGCATCGCGCGACTGTAGCGCCTTTTCGAGTCGATCGCGCAATCGATCGATCTCCTGGCGCTCGCCCGCCGACAACGATGCGCGCACCGACTCGCCAGGGCTGATGGCCGATTGTTGCTGCAGACGCAGTCGCTCCATCTCCTTCAGCAGTTTCTCGTGCTTGTCACGTGCCTTCTCGCGCTCAATATGCGCCCGCTCCAATTCGCTACGTTGCTTCTCTTGATTGGCCAGTAGCTTAGCAACCTCTCCCTTGGACAATTCCAGTTGCAAGGTGGTCTCATGCAGTTTGGATTCCATATTTTGTATCTCATTCTCAATCTTATCATATTTGTCTTTATATTTCTCAAACGATTCGGACTCGTATTGTGACTTGCCACGTATAGTCTCAAGTTCCATAAGTGTTTTATCAAGTTTTTCGCGGAGGCGTTCATTTTCCTCCTTAAGGCGGCGGGTCTCACGTCCAAATGTATCTGTATCCTGGAGTTTACGCAATTCAATTTGATTCTTCTCATAGCGATCTCGCATCTTCTCCAGCTCAACGGCATAATGTGCGGCTTCCTCCTTAGCCGCTTCTACGCTGGCGCTCGCTTTGGTTTGCGCGGCATGTGCACGCTCCAGTTCGTATGAGACACGCTCCATCTCCGATTGCAAATGTTCTTTTTCGCCCTGTGAACGACGTAAATCGGTCTGCAGTTTATCGAAACGTTCGCGATTATGATCGAGTTCAACACGTGCATTATCTTCGCTTTCCTTCGCTCTGCTCAGCTGCAGCGCAGCACGGTCGCATGCCTCTTGTAGACGAGTACTCTCCTCTTGTAATTTACGGAGATCTTCTCGCGCCTTGGATGCGGCCAAAGAAGAACGTTCTGCTTCAACCTCCAAACGTGCGCGATCCGCTTCGGCAGTATCACATCGCGACTGTAGTCGATAAATTTCATTCTGCGCGCGATCATATTTCTCCAACATCTTCTCGAACTCCTTATTCGAGGTGTCCTTCTCATCGATGAGTTTCTGACTGGCATAAAGTGCTTTATCCAGTTTTTCTTTAAGGATTTCTACTTCAGTGACGGCATCATCACGCTCCATCTGCAAAGAGAACCATCGGCACAATGCAATAAATTACAACTACTTCTATCTAACTTCGGAACTCATGGGTAGTGTATACGAGTATACGGTGCACAATTGTTGAATAAGAACGTTCGCCTACGTTTAGAACAAATTTACAAACAGCCAATTGGAAACTTCAATACATGCGAATTGAAAAAGAAATGAAGATCGAATATGGAACTAAAAACTGCGAGAACGTCTTTAAGCGTCTTAAAAGCCAATTGGTGTAATACTCATCTTTTTTGTGTTAGTTTTTTTTTTTTTGTATGTATGTGCAGCATGTAAAAAGTGAGGAGTGGTTGAGAGAGATATAGTATATGTTTTCTTCGTGCAAGTCTCCTTGGCAATTCTTAGCTAAGTTCCCTACCAAGTCTGTTAAGGGAGCGCGATGAAGTGCATTCCCAGCAAGGTTGGTAATATTTTCGGCCATAATTAAATTAAGATGACGCGGAATAGGGATAGGTTTTGCTGGCGCCGCAAAAAGTAGATTTAGGGGTAAATGACTGAATATTCACTTACGAGGTGTGACAATTAAGTAATGGGACTGATTATATTGGCTTGATTGTGGCAATCTTGCTACCTTGAAGTTCCCTTTCTTTCTCCCGAAATCCTTCCCCTCTCCATTGATTTACTTGCCATCGCTCTAGCTTTTTTAGTTCGCCTGCTATGTCGTGTTGAGTAAAAGTGTGTCCGTGGTGCTCGTCACGAAATTGGTGGTTAAAATGGGTTATTTTGAGTCGGACATCTAGGCCTCCGTGACGTTAGTATTCGCGGACATCCCAGTCGAAGCGTTCCAGAAATATTACGAAGCATGAGAAACGCGCTGGAATCGTTTTATAGCTACCCAAGGGTATAACTTTGAAGGGGATGGCAGAGTTGTATAATAACTAATAGAATAATTTTGAAATATATGGTATTTATGTAATCAGACTCATTACTTAATTGTCATACCTCGTAAATAATTGAACCTTTGGAAAAGTTTCGGTAATCGCTTATATCTGCGATTTGTACTATGGAATTCTCTTGAAATTTTCTTTAGTATCAAATGGAGCTGCAGCTCTAAGGACTGCTTTCGGTTCAAGCAGATAAGTTTAAAATACACGTAGCGTTAATGAGCTCAAATGCTGGGCACTACTCTTGGAAATATTCAATGTTAAACCCCAAAAACCGCAAAACTTAAAATGTATACTAATCTTCAGTATTTTTTATTATTAAGGCGTCCGTGGCTACGATCCAAGTAGTGCATATATGAAATATAATCAATATAATTTTAAACGATCTACGCGTAACGTGGTAGAAGATGGTAACAAGACGAATTTGACGTAGGAGAAAGAAAGGTACGAAATGCCGAAAGACCGGGTATACAAGGTTTGTTGGAAGATGACTCTCTATCGTATGATTTCTCCAACTTAGTACTAGACAAAGAAAATACGTACTTCAAAGCTAAACAGAGACGATATATCGGCAAGGCAAGAGCGCACAAGTGCAGCCGTATGCTGATGTATTGAAACCATTGTCCTCAACAATTGCGTCCTGCTTTCCCGAAACTCGATAAGAAAGCATATCGAATGGGTGTGGTAGTGACCCGACAACATATTTCATGTCATTGGTCTTGTCAGTTCCGTCACTGTTGGCACTAACATCTTTGAAGATGTGGCCGATTTTGTCTGTCTTAAAATTAGTATCAACAACCCCTCATGACAAACAAAGGTTAAACCTTGCAAGCTGGTCATCATTTTCGTTCTACTTTATGATGTAGAATCGCATGCATTGACAGCAACCGATGATTTGGCTTCGGCAGTCTTCGAGAAAACGGTTTTGTGACAATTTTTTGTTCCTCGATGAGTTGAACCGGACATGTTCCAACCTTAAAAGTATTCGTTGCAATATTCGCTGGAGGCAAACCTCTTGACCGTTTAGGTCAAGGATCAGAAAATGAAACATTCGGCTTCAGTTGTAGTCTAGAATTGGCGACGGAAATGTATGAAAATTGAGCGAAAGTTTAGTATAAGTTCGAGAAATGAATGAACCAGTTCTATATGACTAATCCGGAGACTAGTTGGTCTCCCAATTCGTGGGGTACATAAAGTGCAATTAATATATATATATATATGTATGTATGTATGTATATGAAAATGATTTATTATGTGTGCATTTATTGCTGTTGCTGTTAATGTTGTTGTTGTTGTGTTTTGTTTTTGATGTTTTTGTATAGCATTACCTGCAATTTCTGTTGGATAGCATGAGACTTTTCATAACGCTCCTTAAGCACTTCCAAATCGGTTTGCATTGCCTCCTTATCGCGCGCCGCTTTCATCAGTAAAGTTTGCGATGATTCAGAGCGTTCTTTGAGTGTTTCCAACTCATCGGAGAATTGATCCCGCTCCTTTTGTATACGTGCTAGTTGCATCTAATTTTGTGTTTTTTATTTTTATATATATATATATATATATATTTAACAAGTTTACCAATAAAATATCCATATTTTTACAATAACAACATTAAGTTTACGCCATACACATGTACATACATACACAGATTAGGTATTAGTTGTAATAGTAGTAAGTAGTAGGTAGTAAGTAGTAGGCAGTAAGTAGTTGACAAGTCAAGGAGGTTATATATATTTGTAAATAAGTAAGTTAGTACATACTACACTCATACTGATACATAGTTATTGCATTAGGTATTAGTAGAGCTTGTTAGTGTGGTTAAAAAGAAGATATAAATATATCTTAACTAGTACTTGTATGTATGTCAACAAGTTGTATTTTTGGTGGTTAATCGTCGCTATTTAATAAGCCGTTATATATGTTTTTATCAATGTCTGCATTTATGTACATAAAACAACTACGTAAATGTGTTCGTGTTTGTGTGTGTTGTGTATGTGTATGTGTGGCGCTTGACCAGTACATACATACCTGCGTCTTTTCCAACTTCTCTCGTATGCGATCCGTATCGAGTGTGAGAGTTTCGCGTTCCTTTTGCATGCGCGCCGCCTGTCCCAGCGCCTTATCCAGTTGCGACTGCAAATTGTCATAGTCATAGGTGAGCTTCTCCTTTTCGAGTACCAAACGTCGATTCTCAGCCACGGATTTATCAAGTTTCTCTTGCAAATGATCAACCTCATTCTGGGCTTTGTCCAAAGAGTTCTGCAATTTCTCCTGTTGCAGTTGTGCCTTGCCCAGCGTGGCCTGAGTTCGCTCCATTTCCTCCTTCATCTTCTCCACTTCCGAGAAGGCCTAAATGGGTCATAAAATGGTTATTTACTTTCAGGTTGCTAACAAAAAGATATGACTTGAATTAAATGATTTTTTTTTTAAACTTCGAAGCGACATCACTTCTCTCTATGGGCTCATGAAAAGTTCACAGAGGATCTGATATTTTTAAGCCAAACTTTGTACAGCGATGGGCATGTAAATAAGCAAGATTGCTGCATTTCGCACGAAGAGATTCAAGAGCAGTCATTTTGTATACAAAAAAAAAAGAAAACCACAACGTTTTTGTGTGATTTGTGAGCAAGTACGATCCTCGGTTCATATTTCTTCAAAAATGATGCCGATGGGAACGTAACTGTCAATTTCAACCATTATCACGCTATGCTAACCGATTATTTGATGCCTGAAATTGAAGCTCTTGATCTCGCATCAATCAACGGATTTATTGATCGAACACTTCGGTGAGAAGATAATTTTACCTTTTGGGCCGGCCGGTTGGCCACCAAGGTCGTGTGTTATCATACCGTTAGACTTTTCCCGGTAGCTGTAGTCAAAGTCCATGTGGACAATCCCGCTTTGTCTCAAGCCTTAGAACAAAACATCACGCGAGTTATTCACCAGTTTCGAGTCGAAATGCTCGGACGAGTCATCGAAAATCGAACACGACGGATTCACCGTCTGAGACATAGCCGCGGGCAGCTTTTGATTTGAAGAAATAATCTTCAACAATTAAATGCCCAAAAATGTTCTTTATTTGACAATAAACATTCCCTTTAAAATTTGAGGTTTCTTTTTTTTCTTTAAAAAAGTAGGCTGCCTTGAAACGGATCACCCTTTTGTATTCGGTTGGGTGAGTGGAGGGTATTCGTTGGGCTTATTATTATTACATGAACTCTACTACAACCGAAAAATTTTCATTTTAATGCTTACTTACCCTATCGCGATCGGCATGTATTCGCGAGACACCACCCTGAACTTTCTCCAGTTCCTGCCGCAAACTCTCCTGTTCACCTTGTGCATTTTCAAGCTTCGCCTTAAGTCGATATACCTCACCCTGGCTCTTCTCAAGCTTCTCCTGCAACGCAGTCGCCTCTTCACGAGCACGTTCCGCGTCCGACTGTAAATGTGTAGATGGTGGGGTAGAGGAGAATCGAGAAAGAGTATATAATATATTAATTTTCTCAACCATACTCATTCGATAATGACATTTGCACAAAGGATTGTTTGAACAACTACTTGAATTTAATTTGATCTTACAAATAAAACGTAAAAAATAAGAACAACGAATTAAACATTAAAATGGAAATGACAAAATGTCTCATAATGAAACGAACAACAGTTTGGGTGATTTAGTAATTAATTTATTTTGTACGAATATGGAACACAGAAAGTGGATAGCGCAAATTTGACATATGAAACATTGTCTTCGGCTGAGCCGAGAGTTTCATACCTCTCATGATCGGAAATTAATTTTTGGCACCTATAACGGTATTAACTTACTCATTGAATTTCTTTAACACTTGAAAATCGGACTAATCGCCTTTAAACCAGACGAACGAACAAACGGACATGACTAAATTAACATAGTTTATCATCTTGATTGTATAAGTGCAAGTATAATGCTCTTCATCTCTGCTCTGATCTGATATGCAATTATTTCAGATTATTGAAATACATGCTCATGAGAGGTATAATTCTTTAGTAACAGTGATACGAGCACGAGTAACAACGAATGCAATGACACAGATTGAGTGATTTTAGGCGATTGCTTGCAACGTTGCGATATGTACAGAGGTGCGCGTGCGTGCAGTTTATGGCTTTTTTTTGTTGAAAACTCGAGGTGGCATGACACGAGCGCGTGAGCGATTCGATACGAAAATGTATGGGAGCGATGATTGCGATTTGCTTCAAAGAAACACAAATTCACAACAGATTATCCAAGCTAAATAAACATGATCCATACAGCGCTTTTTTAAATTGTTTTTAATATTAAGTAAGCTTCACTTACACAAGAACAATCAATATGTGGGTATGCAGTGATACTTATAATAATTATTTACATTCCAAATTTTATATTTTCATTGCGCTGACTTTATAAAACCTGGATTTATCAATGGATCAAAGTACCCTAACTAAGTCTCAAAGGATTATGGAGGCATCGGGAGAGAGGTTTTTGGTTTATTTATGGAAGCAGCACGTATATCGAAGACAATAACAATACAATATTTATCAAAGGATAAGGAAAGTTTTTCACGACAAATATTCGGCGGATTTTATGTACAATTTATTTACAATACATACATTTATACAATGCAAATATTTCCATTTTCAGAACGAATTTCTTAAAGAATGAATAAAAAGTGCTGATCACTTACTTAAACTCTGTTTATATTTATATTTATATTTATATTTATATTTATATTTATATTTATATTTATATTTATATTTATATTTATATTTATATTTATATTTATATTTATATTTATATTGATTGCTCCAGTGTAAGTAAAAAACAAATAGAGCCAAGCAGATTTAGCAAAGTTTAAAATAGCAAAGGCGACTAACGCTTGCGAAATTACTTTTTATTAAAACTATTTAATTTAGTATGCTAAAATATATTATAAAAATTTAAGCGTATATTTTTCAAAAAAGAAAATTTTATTAAATTAAGTCAGACAAAAATTATTTAGTAGAAATATGTTTGAATGAATGGTATTGAGAGTTTGAGCGGCAACATCTGATGGATGTATGTACATAAATACATATATGTATATGTATATATAGTATGCAGGATTTCTGACAGGTTTCAACGACTCCATGATATGTCAAATGCAAGTTACACGAATATGCAAATACGAACATTTATTTTTTTTTAATAGACGATTAAGGCTTTATGTATAAGTAAATATGTATGTTACGAGTATGGCATGTATTTAGACTAGTTAAATGTATAAATGTAGTATGTATATAATTTAAATTGATATACTCAAAAACGAGGATTTTGAAACTTTGGATACTTGTTGTTTGCGATTTTGGAAGCAATTACTCACAAAACGTTTATCTGTATCGCCCTATAATACGAGATACGAGAGTACGAGTACGAGTATGAACGAAGGAACGTAAGCACAACACGGTTATTTGAATTATTTGAAAATAACCATTGAAGAGAATTAGTTAAATTTACATAAATAGTAGTATTTAGTAGGTAGTAGTAGTAGTAGTAGTATTTAGTAGCAATAGCAATAGTAGTTAGCACTAGAGCAATAGTAGACAAATATTTATATTTTTTAATTTTAATAAATTTGTTTAAGTATAAAATTTATGGTGTTTGTGTGTATATATGTGAGTGTATTAATGTACATATATGAGTGTGTGGCAAATGTTATGTACTAATGTTATTTTTTTAATCGTTTTTTAAAGTAAAATTATGTACATAGTCAAAGGTCACAGCTTTTGTCAAAATTTATAATAATTAAATTGGGAAAAGTTGTCGTTGAGGTACACAGCACCATAAATAGTTACCATTTCTTCATTATTTTTTTCTTTAAGAAATATGTTGAGTTCATGAAAGTAATTTCAAAATTACACTTTTTAATGAAAACAATCTGACACCTTCGTCGGTTCCGCATAATACTTCTCATACATCGGCCGTTTGGCGGCTGTAGATCTTTATTTTTGTTGAAAAAACCAAAAGACGCACACCACAAATTGCAGAAGGGGCTCGAAAAGTTTTTAATATTCTTTTTTTTTTTATTGGATCCGATTTTCATATGATGGGTCCCAAATCATATGCCCAGCCATTGAGCACCTCAAAATGTTTGTTTATCGACTACCCAGAGTTTAGTTAGTCTAAGACAGGCAGCCGTGAGCAGCTTGAATCATGAGTAAGACCATCGTTTCTGGCACACCTAGAGCACCGAATCGACTCTCCACGGTCTTTGTGTAAACTCTCAGCTACGGCTAATATTATATTCTCCAATATTGTATGCTGGGTCCCAAGATGGCTGACTGTGTTACGCATAGTACACTCAGTAGGCTTTTTATGTTAACCATAAGTTGAGCGAAGCGAGCGAAACACATTCTTTACAGAACGTGAATTTTCGTAAATTTGAACGATTTGTAAACGTTGCTCAGGCGTAAGTCTTTCTATAATGCAATGCCAAATAGTAACAAACAAACATAGTATGACAGCTATGCACGACTTACTCGTGATCTGTCAAAAAAGGCTATTAGATCAACCGTCATTAAGAAAATTTTAATGTAAATAAAAAATTAAGTTAAAGTTTCTAGTTACTGTCGCCCTCGGCAGGGAATATCAACACCTCCGAGTGTATTTACGACATGAAAAAATTAAAGGCGATCCACTACTCGAAGCCTGGTCTTCAGAATAAGCAACGGATAATTTAGTTATGCGATTTGGTATTATAATATCCAAGTCTTAGCATCGTTGAATTTCAAAAATATTAATTAGGATTAAACCGCATGACTAAAGACAGCATTCGTTTTTTTCCTGCCCTCAGATTATGATATTTTGACAAAAGCTGAACATCCGCTGGGAGTTCATTTGATTGTGGTGTGTATTTGATTAAATATGTTTGTATGTACATAACTTTTTTAATTCAGTTTTGTGAGTTGTGATTACAAAGTACATGTGCATGTTTCAAATGTGATTTATACGTATATACTTGTATATATATGCAGTTTGTGTTGATTTTTTTAATAAATGCCACAAGCGACACACCAATATACATACATAGGTGTATGGTCCGAGTATATATTGAATGAAAATGCTTAGTGATAAAAATGTTTTTTTCTGTTTTTTTTTTTTTTTTGTAATCCGAATAATTGATTTAAATTACATTGAGATGCGATATTTTGCGCACATAAATATATAAGTACATGTGTATACATAAATAAGGGCGAAGAAATAAAAAGAAGAAGCATAATTCTTATCAATTGCAATTAAATTTTTTTCCAATACAAATACGATCAAGTCAAATCAAATATTAACACCACTTTCAAGTAAAACTTCTTTGAATATAATATATATATTAATTAAATATGTAGATGCAATCGAATGTTCTTATACGAGTATGTATATATTGAATTTTTAAGTAGATACAGCTATGCATATGTATATATATCTACGGTTATGTATGTTTATGTATGTTTGTATATGTGTATGTGGTATGATGAAATATATATAATATTAAAAAAAAATAAATAAATAAATAAATACACTTGATGATTCAATATGCAATATATACGAGAATACGAGTTAAAATACGAGTACACATATTTATATGTATATGTATATGTATATGTAATTAAATGATAAATAATTTGTATGCAAATCTTGATCAACTCTTACCTGTGTGACCCGGAGTTCAGCTTGTGTTCGCCTCAGTTCCGCAGCCGCTTTGTCAGCGCGCTCTTGTGCTCGATCCAATTCTTGCGAATTCGTCATCGTGTTGCGACCGAATGTTGTCTAAGCGCAGGAACGAAGACAATAACATTGTATTAATTAATCACAATTTATTTATAAATGTAAGGATATGGGTTTTTTTTAATGCTAATTGGGTACATATAGGCTTTGAGCTTATGTGCAATGGGCCGTTAAGGAATAGGATGCGTGCAATACTTTTTACAGCAGATTAATTTTACATAAATTACAAACCCATTTACATTATCATGTGCACATGTTAATGTAAATATGTTTGCAGTGGACAACAATGCATTTACAATACAACATTTATGGTGATATGCAATCGGATGTTTTGCTGGTAGTTTGTTTTGTTATATAAATATTTATTTACATAGAAGTTAGTGTATGGAAGAGACTTGTGTTTTACTATATATCTATATGTATGTAAATGTATGATTACATTGATTGATTTGCGGAAAATAGCTGCTTTTTTAGTAAAATTTCATTTCTGTGTCAAATTTCGTTACATCTGTTAGTGGTCAAACAAATGTTCAAGCGCCTAAAAGTAGGTCAATCACTATTATTCACAATAACATGCCTACTATCACTCATTATGAAAAATATCTTGGGTAACGATTTTTTTCGTGAATTTGGATAATAAGTAAATTTTATTGTTTGTTATTAGTTTCCGATACTCTACATATCTTTTTTTTATTTAGCTCAGTATCTATTTATCAGCCTACAGTCGTACTGTCTCCTATGCGAAAAAGGACCCAAAAACTTAACTTTCAAAAAAGTTATATTCTTGAAATATCGAACCGGAATAGTGACTAAACCTTTTATATCAAGTTTGAATGATGTTTTACGATTATTGCTTTTAAGGTAAAATATATGGTTATATTTCTACATGAATGACCTTAGAAGTTACTAACCCAATGGGTAATCATGATATACTTTTTTCTATGGTTAACCAAGTAAGCTTAAGATAAGTTGATTTGCCATCAAAATTTATTTAAAGCAGCTCGTATTTAATTTATTCTTAACCAACTAACATTACATTGTAATACTTCAGTTTGGTTCGGAAATAAATTTTCCTGTTGTTAAAAATAAAATTAAAATATCATTGAAAATATTATTTCATCGTATTGTTTTTTAAAGAAGTCCATGAGAAGATATTTTTCCATAATAGGTAAGCAACGCGGAGTAAAAAGCTCATAAAACTTTTTTCTGTTAACGATTTTTAAACGCTAATGTTTGACATTTCTAATATAGAAAAAATATAAAATTTTCGAAATTTAATACAAGCATATATATTTTTAAGTTGTTAATTTATTATATTACTCTCTCTGCCCTATGAACTTTCTTTTCGTATATTCTGCTCTCTTACGTTTTCTAAATGTGTCTGCCAATAAAAATCTTATTCTGTGCTTCAAATTATTCTACCAAAACTGATTCTAAGACTCATTAAACAAAATGTATAGCAAAAAAAAATTAAAAATTTATTAACTTTTTCGCCAAGAAATGACTTATTTTTTTAAACGACCCTCATATTTTTTGAATTTGGTAAAAAAAAATCACGCCTGTTTTAGTTCGCATATAAAATTTTCTACTGGTATTGCCGGTATTCTCTTCCACATGCCGAATCAGCTGTAGATTAACCTTAACAGTTGCAGTCAGAATAATAGCACCACTAAAGGTATTTAATTTAATTGTTCTATTTTACAGTCTCATTAATGGAAATATACTTTCTCAGTAAGTAACAATTTTTTGTCAAAATAGCAGTTGCTTATTTTGAAACACGTTCAAAAGCGTTATTCCATTCAGTAATCATATAAATTAAAATAAAGGGTAAAAATTTGACAAATACTTTTTTTTAAACAATTTATAACGGTTTATTTTAAAACTTTTGGCACTATAGAGCTTGTAATGGGTCGTGTTCTGAACAAGTGAAAACCTTGAGGCGAGAAAAACTTACTCTCAACTTCGAAATATTTTCGGTAGCTCAGAATGCTAAGAAATGCAATTCCTTTTCAATTAGCAAATGTCAGTTGCATAGTACGGGAAATAAAATAATCTCCATTCATGTTAGTTGCCGAAGTGAAAAAGGAATTAGATCTGCCGATAAACACTGCGACAGTATGCAGGAAACTTGGAGAACATAATCTCAAAGCTCACAGTCCACAAAAAGTTTGCTAAAATACCACGTTAAATGGCCGATTGAAGAGTCGCGTAATATTCAGTGGACAAATAATTCTAAAGTATTTTTTTATCTGGTAGAAAGGGTTCTCGATCCTATGTTAGAAGACCTCCAAATTCAGAATATAATAGAAAATGTATCGCAAAAACTGTAAAGACGGAGGTTCTAGTATAATGATATGCGCATGTTTTTCGTACTTGTTGGGGTTATTTACGGTGTAAATACCAACATGGATACAGCAGAATGCATTAAAATACTCGAGGAAGTAATGTTATTGATAATATGCCACTGATTTTGGTAAGAGAACAAGACAACGACTCAAAACAGATCAGCAAAAATAGCTAAAAAGTGGTTTCAAGACAATAATACCCCTTAAAAGTCACCCATCGAAATTTTGTTAAGAAAAATGAATCCGACGATCTTTGGGGCACAGTGCAAGAGGCCTGGTGCTCCATTTCTCAATAGAAATGTCAGAGCTTGGTTAATTCTATGTGAAGTTGCTGGAAGGTATTCATTTCTAATAATGATAACGCAAAAGAAACATTAAGACCAGTATGAAGGAATCGCTACTTATATTACAATGACAGTAAAGGATCTTATTACAATTTTAATATTTTTCCTTTCAGGTCAAAATGGCCAGTGCTATTATTTTGAAAGATTATTTTTGAAAAAATTTGCTTTTTTTTCTTTTTGTCATTATTTATAAATTTGTTTTATATTTTAAATAAAATTACAAAATTTTTTTTTAATAAATAAGTTTTTTACCTGTTTAAAATCTGGTATACTCGTGGTGCTATTATTTTGACGGCAGGGTATATCAGCACCATGTTTGATAAAACATTTTCTATTCTTCCTCTTCTTTTTTTAAATAGAGTAACATGCATTACTGTGCAATTAGTTATGAAAAAAAATTAAAAAAAAAAAAAAAATCCCACAATTAGCCTAGCGTTGAAAACCTATTTTTGATACTTTGCTCAACATTCACGGTTAAAGTAGTATTTCAGCCTCAATTTCTTTTTAATTTATTGCCTAAAACGGTATTTATTACACTAATTTCAGCAGGTACAAAGAAATGTCACCCAAATGCGTCAGATTAGCATATGAAGCGAACTGAATGGTTTCGGAATGATGAATTAAAATACAATTTTAAGGCATTCACTTACCGATAAACGTCCTGATTCGAGCATTAATTTTTGTACCGACTGGAAAAGTATTTGAACATTAATATACATAAAAAAATGATTTCTTTTCATAACTCTGCTCAGTCAATCAGTGTGCGCCTTAATTATGGCATTCACGAAATTTGAGATTTTAGCGCAACTAAAGTGCTGGGATTTGGGGAGTTGTTCAAATGTTCGAGCTTGTAATGAAGTAGCGATTGTTAGCTGATTTTGTAGATACTTAGGTAAATAGTATATGCTTTTCTTAATGCAATAATATTAATTTGTATGGAAATATGTATTGACTGGTATAGTTTTGGTTTAGGTTTTTTTTTCAAATTTATTTATGCTGCTTATGAATTTAAAAATTGGCATATTTTTATAAAAAAAAATTAAGTAATAAATGGAGTATCATGAAAATACTACTACTTGAGCACAAATCAGTTTTTTCATGAGCTGTTTACATACGAAATCAGAGAGATTTCAACCAAGCTATAAAGCACACCTAATTTTTTTTTAGCGTACAAGACTATGTATGACTGGGAGCAAAAAGTAAGCTTCGCGCGCTTCATATTTCGGGTTAATTTTTTTTTAATGTTGGTAGCACTGTTATTGACTTCTAAGCCAAATATCGCTCGTGTTTACTAGATGACGGTCATTTTTGAAATGTTTGATTTAATTAAGCAAAGAAGTGCGATGAAGAATGTTTGCGAAACGAATCTTCGGCTGGTGAAACGTTGATGATGCCACGGAAAGCCTTTGTGGAATCAACTAGGTACCAGAAGAACGTCTATAAGTGGTACAAATACTTCATAGGGTGCCGGCAACGTGTTGATGACTTGGAGCTGATGACTTTTTAGGCCTACGAAATATCAAATCTCGTTTGGTTCCAAAAACACTCAATTTCATGGAAAAAAGTCGTCGCGTTGATGTGGGTGAAACCATGCTTTCTGATTACTAGGACAAGTTGAAATGCATGATTACAGGAGATGCGACGTGGATCTATGCCTACGATCCTGAAAGCACCGACCAATCAAGCGAATATGGTGCTAAAGGTGTGCCAAGACCGAAAAAATCAAGTCTAAGTCGCTCAAAAATCAAGGTTGACTGTTTTCTTCGATTTTCGTGATGCGGTGCACTATGAATTCCTACCGTCCGGTCAAACGGTAAATAGGAGATATTATTTAAGCGTTATGCGTCGCACTCATTTCGCCAAAAATTCCACGAATATCGTTACCCACCCACCGTATTCGCCGGACTTAGCATCATGTGACTTCTGGCTCTGCTAAAAACTTAAGAGACCACTTCGAGGATACCGTTTCGAGTCGATAGAGAAGATTAAACTTGAATCAGCGCGCACTCTGGAGGCCTGACCAGAAAGCGACTATTTGAAATACTTCGATAATTGGAAAAAGCGTTGGCTTAAGTGCATTACATCAGCTGGGAACCATTTTGAACGCGGCGAAATCGATGTAGAAGAATAAATAAAGATTTTTAATTTTAAAAACAAATTCGCCCTATTTTTTGCCCACAGTGGTACATAGTAAAGCTTTTTTAAAAACTGGGCGACACTAATCCTATGCTTCAATGTTGAAGTGATGAGTTGGAAAAAGTGTCACTAAAGAATTTGGTTCCATTTCGAATAAAATGAGCAAGAAGTATTAATTTTAACAAACGAAACCAGCTCTTATACAAAAACAGCCTTCGTATGTTCAAGAAAAAGGAACAAGGCAAGTTAAGGGCCATAGTATTCTTTGATAATTACTACAATATTTGGCCATGAATTATGCAAATACTATAAATTATGAATTAATGACAGCAAAATAAGGATTCGGTTACTCCTTGCCTGTGAAATGTCTAACTGAAAATCTGATCTCTAACATCAAATATGTGCTTACGTCAATTATGAACTATCGGTTATTATGAAAGGTGGTCGTCATGGTGATCATGGTGATCATGAGATATGCTTGCGTTAAAATAACGCCTTTTAGGAATAAGACTAGGAGTGTTTGGCTACTTATTTGAAGTAGCATATGTTATATAACTTCTTTTTAGGTTTAACAAGACTTTTAATTTGGGTTTATATATTTTTCTCTTACTTTTATAGACTTCGGTTTTTCGTGAGACTGAGTGAAATGCTTATTGAAATTTGCAAAAAAGAAAACTATTCCTGAACTTCTTTGTTTTGAGTTGAATTTTTGCTGATATTTTTTGTTTCTTTTAATTTAAGGTCACTTAGTGCGTGTACATTTTTCATTTTCAGTCATTTAAAAAAAAAAAAACTATTGCTCTCAAGGGGTTACATAGTTTTTGAAACTTCAAAAAAATAATTTTTATTTTGGTAATTCTTTGCATAAAAGTACAAAGTGTAGGGAATATTTCCTCCAAGTTTCAATTCGAGCGAGTCGAAACTGTAGAAATTAGAGAGTTTTTTAACCCGCCGTCTTTGTCACGGCTTGGCCGATGGCGAAACTTTAAACGCGCTTTTCTTAAAACAACAAATATTGAGGTCGATAGTCAAAATTTCTTAGCTATCGAGTTCAAATTTTCCACACTTCTTTTAAGCATATTTTTGTATTCGCTGAATGAAAGATTTATTTTATTTTTGATATCAACTCATTTCATTTTGGCCTAATTTTATGCAAAAAATGACGGCTTCTGTAAAAAACACAACGAAAAATTCAATTTATAATATTACTTTAATTTTTCTTTGTTCAGGGACAAGGTTAATTTACCTAATTTAAAAAAATTTGGATTTTTGTTTTCAGATAAAAATTGAACTTTCTTGTGGACGGTCTACTTCACGACACTGCCAACGCCTTAACTTATATTATTTTTCATTCAAATTTGCATGAAATTTGTCCACTTATGGTTCAATTATATGTAAATAAAATAAATTGTATACTTTGTTTAGTATCTTTAAAAAAAATTAGATAAAATAAGCTTTTTTTGGCCTTCAAGACCTATGTAACCCCTTAAGTGCTAGCACCAGCAGAAGACTTTATCGGAATACAACTTTTCTAATGTGTATAATTATTTGTGTTTGTTTTGTATGTATATGGTGCAAAACAACAACGACTTAGACGTACATATATATGTAGTTAAAAGTAATGTAAAAAAATTTAAAGCTTTCCAAGGTACGCGCCTATTTGGCTAGTAAACGTTAGTAAAATTTTAGTATTTCTTACTGCGAATATGGTATTACAACAAAACTCGTAAATACTTTTATCCACTACAATTTTATATGTACAGTGCAATCAAACGATATTTCATTGCCATAATGATTTCGTAAATGCTTACTCTCTTACTTATTTGATGAGTTTTCATAGAGCTCTTTACAAGCTGTAGACGAACATCACTACAATTGCAATAGATCTGCTAAAATCTCGGCTAGCAAAATAAAATCTAAAGTCTAGTGCGCAATTTTCTATAGAAAATTCTATTTACACTACCTGCTTGATTTTATATAAAGAATAATAATTTCATAATCTGAGCACAAAGCATTTATCAAGCGAATTAGCTAATTTTATGGGTTTTATATAATATTTTTTTCGTCTCATCTAATATTTATATTTTATGAAAAAGAGAATAAGATGCAGTCAATTATTCAAACAAAGATTATAATTTTAGTTTCGAGTTACATAATCATTGAAAATCACTCCGTTTTTGTCTTAGACCTAATAGCTCAACTAGCCATTTTACAGTTCTCCCAGCCGTACCATCCGGCTGTAAGAGAAATTCATTATCAAATGTTATGGGCGTTACACTCAGCGCCGAAGTGTTGGCCGCTGTTTTCTCTAAAAATTTCCTAATTTATATGTTGAAATAAAAAAAAAATTCAATGGAAAACTCTTAATGAAATACTTTACTGGCAACCTTTGTACTATAGAAAGAAATCAGCTGAGTCGATTTTATCAAAAAAAAAAAAAAAAATCATACCGCAGCTGGTTTCTACGGTACAAACGTGAGTAACGCCAACGCCCAACGGTGATAAATTTCCATTGATATGGCGCTCTCATAAGATAAGTTGTATAAGCTGGGACGATATGTTTTTGGCTGGTTCGGCTATAATACGAAATCCGTAGTGCTCAGTTCGAATATTGGTTTCTCTGATACAATAACTTAAAGGTAGCTTCATGCTCTCTTCGTAATCGGCTTTATAGCTAACTGATATTAAACATGTTTTGTCTTTTTTGTGCCAAAGGCAAGGTTAGGGATTGATCCACCAAAACTGAAATCGTATTCAAAAAGATGAGCAGCTGGCTGGATTTGCTATATTTCCCTGTATGTTTGAATGCAAACCAATCTAATCTATTTGCTAAATATATTGGTTAAACAGGTTGCTCGTTAACCCTGAATCCTATCTACCCTCCAGATGCTCAAAGCAGCTGTACGTTTTATGAAATTCAGTAGATTTATGATGCTTGCAGATGCAATATCTGTAAGGCAATCGAAGAAAAAAATATCCGAGACAACGATATACTGAGAGCTGCACACTGGCAGAGCTAATTTTCCACCGATTCCCTCTTATCTATGTCACTGCGGCTGCGGCGTTCGAGAAAGTGCTGCTTCTTCTACCATAAGTTTTCACAACACAGTGTTTGATTTTTACGCCATTGGTTGTACTTATTTAGGCGCTGTTGTCCCTTAACAGTCTTAACAGATACTTTGCAGAGCTGACCGAGGCCATGACTGTTCCGTGTATGGCCTGCTCATCGGTCCCGCAGTTCCCACGACCAAGGAGCCAAACCACGGACGTTTCACATAAGGTCGAAAAACTCTAAAAATCTAAGCTTCGATTGAAAAGTAAAAAATGTCTTAAAACTCTTTCCAATTCATTTATAATGAAAAACGTCTAGCAATTTCTTTTGTTAGTAGTTCTGCCGCCTACGAAAACTATTTTGTAAGTGGCAAAATCAAATAGTTCTGCGCAAATAAGTTTAGTGTCAAAAATTTCGAAACTCTTATAGAATTTTTGTATTATGGTTTATTTTACGTTTTTTAGTTGAAAATAAGTTTTCGCAGTAAATGAGTGATTTAAATGAGTGCATCCTACTTGGGTGAGCATTTACGAACGGTGATTATACAAAATGACATATATGCATATTAAATTTGCGGCATCATTTTAACTTAATACTAGCATTATTCATTAACTACAATTATAAAACTAAAGATTTTTTAAGGATTTCATAGAAAAACTCTTACTTTATGTAGTGTGGTCTGTTCTTCTAGCTGCATCTATTATGGTGGTAGTTATAGTAGTAGGTGGTAATAGTAGCAGAACATAGTTGTAGATAGGTACATAGGTGGTTGAGTGGAGTAAGTGTACATGTAAATAATAATAATAATAATAGCACAGTAAGAACGTTATTGCTTAAAACACACATATATATTTTTTATATTAATAAATAAGTTGAGCGTTAGAGGTAAATATGTATATGCAGATAATTCTCTTTTTAACATTTTAACACAGTTGAATATAGTTTATACATATATATAAAAATATCTATAACGGTAGTTAATATCATTAGATTTAGTAATAGTTTGAGTATGCTTTTAAGAAAATGGACTATTAATTGCTGAGGGTATAAAACATCAAACGCATATAGTTATATGGCATATACATAATATGATATTCATAATTTATCAGATAGGCTTTCGGAGATTTTAAGAGCAAGATAGAGCATTTCAATATTTATTATTGTATTTTTTTTTTTTTGTATCTCTCACTTAATACATTTGTCAGTACTTATTATTCAAACTACATATCTACATGCCAATACCTGTGAACGTTCCAAATCGTGTTTCAATCGTTCATTCTCGAATTCCAAACGAGCTATACGTTGCTTGGTCGACTCCCAATCGGCAGTGCTGCGTCCCATCTCGCATGTGGCTTTGTCCAGTTCCGCCTTCGATTTGCCCAATTCACTCTGCGATGCTTCTAATTTAATTTCCAAACGCTCACGCTCGGTAACAGCACGCTCCAGGCGCGTATTCAATTTCTCCACCTCACTCTCGAGCGAACGCAGCTTGATTTTGTAATCGGCAATTTCACGCTCATGTAATTCACGCTCCTCTTGCTTTTCATGCTCGGCACGATCTCGCTGTTCTCGCAGCTGAGCCATTTGCTTCTCCTTATCACCAATGGCCTCTTCGAGACTTGTGAGAGCGCCCTCGGAGCTGCTGTGATGAGCCTGCATTGCCGACAGACGTGCACGGGCCATATCCACCTGATTATCCTTCTCTTTAAGCAGATCCTCGAGATTCTCAATCTGATCGGTATGGGAAAGTAATACAAAAAAAAAAACAAACAAAAAAAAACAAACAAAAAAAAAAACAAAAANAAAAAAAAAAAAAAAACACAGAAGACAGAAAAGCGAAAAACGCAGGTGTAAGTAAATATAATAAATAAAAGTAAAGGAAACGGTTATTTATTGGATTAATTTATTTGTTTTGCAATTTGAATAAAATATAAATTTCTTTTAATATTGAATTTCTCTATATGTTTGAGTTGGTGTGATTGATGTGGTGTAAGTAAGTGTTGAACGTGGTGGTGTTATTATTGTTGTTGTAGTAGTATATTTGTCTAAATCATAGTGCACCTTTCGCTGTAACACGTTGATTTTGCGATCCTTTATCTCCATGTGATCCTTCAATTCGGTGAGTTCACTAGTCAGGCGATTCCGTTCTTGTACTGTTTGTAGTGTACCTTGCGTCTTCTTCTCAATCAGTCGATTCTTCTCCTCTAGGCGGGCTCGCAACTCCTCAACATCAGTCTGTAGCATGTTGTAGTGCTCCTCCTTGGCACATAGCGACTCCTTGAGAACCGCTATGTGCCGCTGATAGTCCTGGAAAGTTTTTGGAAATTGCTTTTTGTACAATTTTGTTATGGTTTTTAGAAAAGAATTTCAGTATCAAACATATGTATGTATATCACATACAGTTATGTACGGTGCATATTTGAAAGCTGTGCTCATTACTGCTAAACCCTTATTGATTTGTCTATTAAAATACTTTTTTTTTAACAAATCTATGAAATATTGAAATATTTTTACGATGATTATAATGAGTTAAAAAAAGTTTTCATATAATATTTTCTGCTTAGAGAAATAAGAACGAGCAATTTAGAGAACAAAAGATGAAGTCGAAGATTTTTTTATTATCTGGCACAAAATTATATTGACCTCTTCTACAAATTTTTTCATAAACTGGAAACGATTTAAAGAAACTGTGAAACTACAGTGTTTTCCAATAAAAGGTGTTATTTTTATATTCCAAGAAAAATTAAATTTTTTGATATAAATGTTCGGATGTTTATTTCAATGTAAAGAGAAAGATATGCCATAAATAATGGAGAAAAATATATCCGAAATGACCGCCACGGCCACGCTTACATAGCCGTATCCTTTATTTCAAATTTTCCATCTTTAAATCGCAAAGTAGCTGCTTCATGCCCTCAAAAGCTTCACGTATTCCATCTTTGAGGTCTTGAATCGACGTTCGAAAGAAAAAAGTCTCAAGGTGTTATATCACAAGATCTCGGTGGTCAATCGCGCTCACCTTCCCACGGTCCGACAGCCTTTCACTTAAAAGATCAATGGTTTAGTGCCATGTGGCGCCGTCTTTCAGAAGTAAACGTTTTCCAGATTAATACCATCCAATTTCAATTAATCATCTCTCGATAGCGCAATCCATTCACCTTAACTGTTCCTCCAGTCTAATTTTCGAAAAACCACGATCGAATAATCGCGTCGTACTAAAAACCGCGCCAAACAGTTACCTAGTGAGGATGTGGAGGCTTTACGACAATAAATCTTGGGTTTGAGGTGGAAATAGGCCTCAACAGTCGAGGGGATTTTTAGTTTTTCAGCAAAGACACGACGTTGTTGATGATCGGCCGCCTTCTTCTGTTAAATGATCTTTAAAAGCCTTAAGACCCACGTCGTTCCAAAGAACGACGAGGAATGAAAAAACCTGGGTTTTCTATAACACTCTGGACTACAACAGCAGTTGTTATTGAGCGATGTTGAGGTGTTTTATTTTTTTTTTCACCAAATTCTGTATTTGCAGTCCGACAAACTTCTTCTCGACGACCGAATAATGTTTTAGTTTTGCGAAACGTACTCGAAGAGGTTTTTACCAATTTCGTACTGAATTTTTTATCATTTTAATGCGTTTTTTAAGCGTTTATCGTTCCATTTTTTATTACTGGCGTAGTTTTGACTTGTAAAATGTTAAAAAATTACAGTTGCAAAAGTGTCCTCTACCGGAATAGCGGACTATACAAAATAACACCTTCTATTGGAAACCTCTTTTTTTTGAAATACCTAAAAGATTCTGAGAAATGGTATTAAAAATATGTGTTCAATACTCGAGAAACAAGAGGAAAAAAGAAAAATATTTGAATCATTTAATTATACTAGTTTTTAAATACACTAACATTTTTCCTTAATACAGCAAACCCTAGGCACAACCAAAGTGTTAAATCGAACGAAAATTATTGTGTGAACATAACCTCATATGTTTGATCGCCAAGAAATGGAAAAAACGGAAATAATAAATAAATATTTAAACCATTTATTTACCTGATGTTGCTCTTCTAAAGTTTTCATTTTGGCCGCCATCGCCAATATTTCTTGATCCCTTCTTTGTATTTCAAGACGGAATTCGTCCAACTTAAAAGTCAAATATGATAGATTTAGAAGAAATAAATTGCTTTATATTAATTTTTCTGTTATTCAGACTTTTTTCTACATGTGTGTTTGTGGTTCGAGAGCGCATTTATCGCTCTCTTATATAATATTAAATGAGAGGATTTCTCCAAATGCAACACTACAGCGTGTAATGCACGAATGACATGAGATTTTCCTTTTGTTTTATGAAAGTCGTGAGTGTAAGAAAGATAGACGGTTGGAGAGAAAGAGATGTATTTATGTAAATTTGCGCGCGCTTGTGGGCTTGTGAATATGAATGTGTGCATGAATTTATGAAATTGAAGTTTTTTTGAGATGTGCGCTTGTCTATAACGCTTAATTTTTGACCAACATGAGGTGCAATATGTAGTGTGTTTCTCGGAATATTTGGGACAATTTGTCGGAGTTGACGATTGATGTATATCTCAGAGAGAATTTACAAATCATTTGCATTTGTTTTCTTATTTTTGTATATAAAACAGAGTGCAATTGCAGGTTCGGCTTACAAGATCAGAGTGTGTAGATTTGTATTTTGACGAAAAATACAATAAAGTTTTCAATTTGAAATGGAGTTTACACCTTGAAATCCACTTGTGTTTGGATAAAATGTGTGTTTTTGAAGGATTCCAAATTGGGTGTGTGTGTAATTTTCTAAAATCATTAAAATCGTGTGTGTGTGTGTGTCTACTACAGAGTGTGAGCTTTGCCAAAATGTATGCAATTTGTTGTTTAGGTTTTTTTTTATCGCATTTATTCTTTTTTTATTATATTTTAATAAAGTTTGAAGATTATTTATAATATTTTCGTTTGTTATTTATTTGCCATTTTAATTAATTACATTTTCATTGTTTTTTTTTTGTTTCACTTTCGTTTTCTTTTCTTTCTTAACTCAGCGTATGTATATATGTATGTATGCATTGCATGTAATATAAGTATAAGTATATATATATATATATTATAAATACTGCTTTTGAATACAATATAACAATTAATAAATGCCTCAGTTAGTTACTTTGAAGTTTTCTGAATGAATCATTCTACTATATTGCATATATTTGCATGTAAAGTCATTTTATATTAGGCTTAGATATGAAAATAAAAGACATTATGCAATCCCATTCAGTCGAAATTATCGGTGTCTACATTAAAAGTTGCAACAGTACTGAAATGTTGCACATGTCATCTATTGTAGCGCAATTATATATTCAATCAAGAATCGACTGAAAGGCGTGCCGAAAGTTGAGGTGAAGCAAATGGGGCATCGGGTGGCCAGAAAGGAAAAGAGGAACCTGTGAGATATCCGCCCCAGCGACTATAATGACAAGGCCTGACCCATTCGGATGAATGAAAATTCGGCTTGCAGAGGAAAGTGAAGGAAGGAAAAAATCAAGTAAAGAAAGACCTGGCTTCTCTTGGTGTCACTAATTGCCGCCAAACACCGTGGCGTGCTTTGGTTGACTCGATTATAAACGTTTAAGCGGTGCCACTGTCGAATAAAAAGGAAAATACAATTCCATTGCACTGTCTGATCGATAGAGGGACTGACGGAAATACTAATAGATTTCATAAATTTATATATCAACTCATACACTTGGTCTAAACTCATGTTGACTCTGACCACTTTTGGCTGGATTCATGAAATAATGACTGAAAATAATATTTATTAAAAAGCCTTTACTGTCATAACTTTGCAAATATCGCGATTTTCGTCTGTAAATTAATTATGCACCTATATATATATGTATGTATGTATGTACTTTGTATTAAACTACTTATATCGAAACTTCTTAGATAGCTAAGCATCGTTAATTTTTTTCATTGTTCTTTCAACATTTTTTTGTTGTTGTTGTTTGTTAATGCATGTATGCTTTTTGTATGTTTATATATAATATGTATGTATATACAATTTGTTTTTGTATTTATTTAATTTATTGTGTAGATAGTTTCATATTTCGGCATAATCTTATGGCAATCAATATTAGCTAAACAAATTTACTATTACAATTAAACACATGTGTATGTATGTATAGTTTTTTGCATACACATAATACTTAATACATATGTATACTGTTTGTAGCTATTATTTATGTATTCATATATATATTTGTATCTATATATATATATATATATATGTATAAGTGTAAATCATTGTATATGCTAATCAAAAAGAATAACAGTCAGTTTATACGTAAATAGTACCGAATACCGTTATTATTATAACGGTGTCTTTATTTAAATGCAAATCTTTATATCTGTATGTATGTATGTAAGTTTTGTAAATATACGAATACACGTACATTGAAATATTGGCTAGTCTGAGTTATTTTGGAGTATAAGTATTATTGTATTGTTTGAGATATATGTATGTATGTATGTACTCGTATGTAATTGTATGCAAAATGCAGAGCCTTCGTTTTGTTTTGCTTAAGTTTTCGTTTTTTCCTTCTTTAATTATAATTCTTTTCCATATTTTTTTGTTGTTTGTTAACATTTCGCCAATTTGCACTCAAGTTTCCATTCATTTCATTGCATTTTTTCGAAAAGTTTTTATGTGTAAGTTCAGTTGCTTCGTTTCAGATTCAAGTTTCGAATAGAAATCGTTGAAAGTCGTTGCTAATAGTATAAATTTGTTTATTGTGGTGCTTGGTTGGGGGAAAAAATAATAAAACTTATACATTTTTAAAGAATGTGGAAATACAGACAAGTTCGAGCCATAATTTTCAGAAATCATCACAATTACGAAGCTAAAAATATGAAATTCAGTATGTTGTTTACTGTTTACAGATCAAATATTGATACTGGTTTGCACACACAACGTGTTGACAAATTCTCGATTTACAGTCCTATTCTCACTGTTACCGGTAAAGTAAATTTTGTTACTTTTCTTTAACACCTGAAATTGAATTTGGTATTCTGGCGAACTGGTTACAATGTTTGAAAAAAATTTGGCAGCACTGCTCTTTTCGTCCATGCCAAATTATGTCCAAATATTTACATCGAAATGGAAGACAGTGCACAAAAAAATTAATTAATTTGTTTGTTAAATCATAAATATTTGAACCTAATTATGGAAGTTATGCCTGGACAACAAAAAAAAGCTGAATGAAAACGTTATCTTACAAATTAAAGGGCTATTTTTTAGTATCGAAAACTTCTTTGCACTTTTTTCTTCATCTTAAATGAATTCCAGGCTTAAAAAATGCCTACTCACTTGGGTTTTTTATTTTTTCTCAAACTTATAGCACAAAATCAAACAGCAGATATTTTTGTTACCTCCTATTTCGCTGATAACAAAATTTACAGGGTAACAGTGAGCTCAGAATACGAAATGGTAACAAAATTTATTGAATGGTAAATTTTAATACGTAGGTAAATTTTGTTACCTCGCCTGTTAATTTGATTTTAACCGATAAATAAGCATTGAATTCATGAAAGGTATGAAGACTTCGACTTTGTCGGTTTTGTTGTAAATTTCGTGCAGCGTTATATAAAAAGTCTAATTATTATAAATTTAAATCCTATGAAATATGCCAATTTTTTCCAAAAATCTGGTAATTCGGTTTAAAATTTAAACAAAAAAATGCTGCAAAGCAAAGAGTCTTTGGCATTGCATTGGATTTTTTGAGTTTATTTGGTTTGAATTTTTCAACTGCTTTCAGCTTTTTTAATTATTTTTTAAATAATTAGGGCAGTTAAAAGTTGATTTCAACAATTGGGTACACGGCAGCTATAGTCATGTTTATATATGTATATTTGCTATATGCATAAGTTAAGTTAGTATTAGTTGTATATAAGTTGGAAGTAAAATGCTATTAAAAAGTTAATTGATTTTCTTTGTTAGTAATGTAATAAACTCTGTAAGAAGCAGCAATAAATAGTAAATTTTGTTAGTTTTTAAGGGTAACTCCACACATACATTCAACATTTGTATGTATGTGTATGTATGCATTTGTGTGTGTGTGTGTGTGTATATATTGTTTTCAACATTCTTTACACCTAAATATTATATGCTAATTTTTTCGTATGCCACTTCACTACGCACATGCATTCACATATTTATATTTGTATTGAATTGTGTTAACTGCCTTATGTTTAAACACATTTGCTGTTTTTTTTTTGTAATATTTTTTCTTAATTTTTTTCTTTCGTATATTTTTGAGTTTTATTTCAAATTCTTCAATGTTTGCATTACATTATGAACAACATTACATTACTTGTTGTAATTGACCTTCATTACTAATCACACTCTAGCTGGGGAAAAAAATTTGTATTTGCTTTGAATTGCATGCATTTTAGTTTAGTTTAGTTTTTGTTTTCGCTTAATTAATTATTAAATGCGCGTTTATTTGTTAAGGAAGTTTTTTGTTTCAAAATTTTGCTTAATTTCTATTAAAAATATACGAATATATACGAAGCAAAACCGTTGTATATACAAGTCGTTTGCTCACACATTTTTAAGTTTATGCCAAAAATTTAAAAAGCAAAAAATATATTAAGTTTTTGTACAGTGTTGAAGAAGTGCGGCCGCGCAGTAGTCTGACCATGAAAAAATAACGAATAACGGTAATGATTTGATTTCAATTTCATAGCATCTAATATTTTATAAGTAAGTAATATTTAATTTTTCTTTTAATTCAATAATGAATTTTAATAAAATAGAGTATTCAAGTGGTTAAATTTTATTCAATTTTGATTCCGTATTTTTAAATTTTGCAGAAATTAGTCTATAAAGTATTAATGTCATTCAAATCGACATTGTCGTGAGAATTTTTAGTTTAAATTTCATAAATAAATTTCAAAGCTTAACATCATAGTAACAATTTTCTAATAGAACAATGAAAAGTATTTAACATTTTATTAGTTATGTATATTTAGTATTTTAAAATTTTTATATATTTATATATACAGTCTTAATGGTTTTACTTTGCTTTGCGTTAGTCGTGCAGTGTCGAATTTATTGTTTGATATTTGGATATATATAT